ATTCAGTAACTAAAATTGCAATTAAATCAATTAATTTCATGAAAATAGAAAACTGTTTGATTATTCCAACTATTCAGTAACTAAAATTGCAATTAAATCAATTAATTTCATGAAAATAGAAAACTGTTTGATTATTCCAACTATTCAGTAATCAAAATTACAATTAAATCAATTAATTTCATGAAAATAAAAAACTGTTTGATTATTCCAACTATTCAGTAATTAAAATTACAATTAAATAAATTAATTTCATGAAAATAAAAAAACTGTTTGATTATTCCAAGTATTCCGTAATCAAATTACAATTAAATCAATTAATTTCATGAAAATAAAAAACTGTTTGATTATTCCAACTATTCAGTAATTAAAATTACAATTAAATCAATTAATTTCATGAAAATAAAATATTAGCATTTTTGATTTTTACCATTTGATTATTCCAACTATTCAGTAGTCAAAATTACAATTAAATAAATTAATTTCATGAAAATAAAATATTAGCATTTTTTATTTTTACCGTTTGATTATTCCAACTGTTCAGTAATCAAAATATTGTCGTTATAATTTTCAATTAATTCGAGGTTATTCACTTTAATCATTGTGTCACAACTCACAAAAACAATCAACCAATCAAAATTAAGAATTCCAATTATTAATTTTTGATTATTCCAACTATTGAAGTCATCAAGCTAGTGTAATTATGTTTTCATGCTGTTACATACAAAGCTACACAACAGGTTGTCTGTACTCTGCCCACTGTACTGAAACCTGATTTTCAGAATTACGAGTGGTTTATTTTCTTTAGTCATAACGTGGGAGAATAAGTGGTTAGTCAAATGTAGTTGATTAACGAGCCTGGCTTTTAATGAAGTAACAAAATCAACTGATCATCTAACTCTACACAATAAGTTAAGAATGAAGATGTTATCTGGATGATTAAAGTTTTACGATATTCATCAACATGTGGCTTGTCTAGTTATTATCATAGATCAATTTCATTCTTTTTGGATAGTTTTTAAATATCAAAACATATATAATACAAGTTTCAATAATGTTAAAAAGTTACATATACTAGCACGGATCGTGAGAATTGACTTCACAATATCCTGTATACTTATGGCTTATATATATATCTAAATCCAAAAATTTAAGAAGCATTTTCATACCAGAGACAAAGAGAACTTCATTTGGTCCAACAGTGTGTATGTTGCCCATGATGTTACTTCAGAGTTAACGCATCTTTTCAGTTGGCTTTATCTATCAGATAAAGACAAATTATTATCTACAAAAAAAAAAAACTTTTAACACTAAAAGTCCACTCAAGTCTGTAATTGTGAAACCTTTTTCTAATGGCAACTCAAAAGAGATTTCCATATCTAGATTTCTACAAATACTACTATGGGAGGTAGTCCCCCCCCCTCTCAAACATCCTCTTTATGTGTAGATACATATATATATACTGTGATCATACAAAAAATTTATATAATTTAAAAATGTGGGGCCAGCTATACATATGAAGGTACACAATAGAATATCTTATTACAAAAAAATAATGGAATATATCTATAATGAACATTATATTCTGTGAAGATCACTGAATATCATGACTTTGTTTATAAATAAAAGATACAGAGTTATTAATAAATAAGAAAAAACCCATAAACTTCATGTTTAGTCACCAATTCTGCTTTGAACTTTTGTTTGTAAAGCTGTTGCTTCAAATAAATCACAAGGTTCTGTTTCTTACCACCTAAAAATCTTCTCAAAGTAATCATTATTAAAAAATAATATATTAAACAGAAAATATTTATCTCTGTTAAAGACAGTGCTTTTGGCTATATCTTTTGGATTTTAGTTTAGTTTTACTAGTCTTTTTCATAAACAAAAGTCATTAGACCTAAAACAGGCTCACCTGAGAAAAAACATTCATTTCTGAATCACATTTGGCTTTTGAAGCATATTCTAAACCCAAGAGTAGTTGGATGACGTGTCAGACAAAGAGTGAAGTTTTCCAGCAGTACTTTAAAGAATTGCCATGTAAGCAAACACAAACTCCTACAAATAAATTAAAAACAAAACAGCAAGTCTGAAGAATCAATAGGAAAGATTCTAATATTACCTGCAGACACAGATTTACACAAACATGCCTTTAATGTTACATTTCTCAGATTTAACAAATACTCTCAAGCTTTTCCATGTTGAAAAAAAAATAGTTTTAAACAAAAAAAAATGTACTGTCTATACAAGATTTAAATGTGTTGTTCCTTGCGTTATTCTACATATGTGAAAATAGCTGAAAGATAATATAGTATTAGCAGATGCTCTTCATATGTATACTAGTATATGACTGGTATTATATCAATAAATATACATGTTTTTTCATGATGTTTTGAAAAAAAGATATTTTCACCAATTACAGTTAAAAACACCTTGGGCCATTTAAAAATATAACAGATTTGTTGACATTGTTTCTTATGGACTTAAGCTCTTGTTTTGAGACAATGTTCCAGGTTCCATGCCAAGTTCTTCTTCACTCTTCATCTCTACATGGAACTAACAATTTCCAATCACAAAAAAATCACTATTATCTTCAACTTTTTCCACTGTAACATAAATGAAAGATTAAAATAAAATATAAAACCTCATTAAACATATTAGCTGCCATTCATCATGAAGATCTAAAACACTTTGAATCTGTGGTTGCAGAAGTTTGGATGGATATAAAAACAAGTTTCCTCACAGTGTTTCAGGTTAGTCAAATAAGAATTTATGATACCAACTTTAATGCACAGCACACCACTTTTTTAAGCTTTTTTCTCTTGATACATTTATCTAAAGAAATTTAGAAGGATGAGCCATCTATTTCTTTATTCTGGTTAAAATATTTCCCAAATTTGCCCTCCCACACACAACAAAAAGTTTCAAGTGACTTCAGCTGTAAAACACATTACTTCATACTATTAAAAAATGTCATATTAAGATAAGAAAACCACCAACCACAGTTGGTTCTAAGACTTATTAAAAGCTCCAATGAATCATTTATATGATACTACTAGTAAGTAGTACATTACTTGTACAACAAAAACACAAACATTTATGTGTAAATATTAAATTCTATTAGATTATTATTTACCAGTATCATAACTACGGAAAAATTGAATTTCTCTTAAGCTGTGTGTATTATAATTATTTAATACAGATCTAATCATAACACAATAAAAGTAGTACTAGTACTTTATTACTAGAACCACTACTAGTACTATTATTATTAATATTATAGCATATGAATTTGGTAAATGAATGAGTTGGGACATGTTTAAACTTTAATGGTACGATGTTGGGCCAGTATCATATGGTAACTTTGGTATCATTATGTAATGATAGCTCTATAAGTATCACTACCTTCTAGTCACAGATCTTTTCCTTTCGCTTCGGTTTTCATCTAAGAATTTAAATACGGCAAACTAAACTCTTAACCAACACTACTACTGTGGTACTAATAGTAATAATATTCATACGTCCACAGATCTGTTAACTACTCCTCCTTCCGTCACTAAAATTAACACAAGCATTTGCAAGGTTTTAAAAATGTTCATCACTAGAGGGCCAAGTAGTGTTGAATATTAAAAAATAAAAACCACACTCATGCGTAATCTAATCGTTTTTTCCTTTATCTGGCCCTCAGGAGCTCAGTGGTAAGTTTGGTGGCATATAGGCTAAATATTGGGGTTTGGTAAAGTAGAGTGCACAGTGCACAGAGTTCGTGTGTAGCTTAGCGCTATATATATATATATATATGTAACGCTTTACACTGTCGTTAATTTAGGTACATATTTAAATAAAAATAAATACTCTACCGTAGTCTAAGTTCAGACAATTTAACCTATAAGATTTAAATGCCAAGAATTACGTCACTTTAAAAACCAAATGTGATTTTTTCTTTGTAAAGGGTAAACTTCTTTAATTAAAATTTATATGGGAAATTCACGTGATAAAATTTTCCATTACCTCGGCAAAAACCTTACTAAATCAAAACATCCAGTCTTAAGGATTTGAGGACTTTGATACTTCATAAAAGAATCTCTATTTTCATTAATTGTTAACTTTCTTAAAAACACAAAGTAAAAATTTCATGATTAAACCAGATAGAATTGTGATTATTCATCACTCACATGTCCATTTGTCTCTCACTATCGACGGCTAGATATACAGACAAACAACAAAATTTATTTTAAAAAACTGAAATATAGACAGAGTGCTCAGGAGAAAGACCAAGATTTGAAGCCAATAATTGATTTTCTAAAAGCAAGTGTTTTGCGCCCTGCTTGGGAGAAAGTGTCTAGCTTAAGCCCTGTGACAAAGAACTTTTGGGCACAATGGGACCAGTTGAAGCTTGAAGATGGTATTCTTCTCCACAGATGGGAAGGTGACGACCTAGCAAACGGTTATATCGGAAAAGTTACGGGAAGTTGTGCTGCGTCAATTTCATGATAGTTTAATAAGGGAACATCTCGGAGTTAAGAAGCCATTGAATCACCTATGACAGAAATTTTATTGGATAGGTATGAGGCAAGATGTGGGCCTTTTAGCACAACATGTACTGCATGTCCTGCACCATTCTTGACCGAAGCATAACTGACGTGCTCCAATGAAGTTATATCAAGTTGGTGCACCAATGGCAAGTGTGGCCATTGACATTGCTTGTCCTTTGCCCAAAACTCGTGCTGGAAACAGATACATTTATGTGGTGATGGATTATTTCACCAAGTGGCCTGAGGCATATGCAATACCAAATCAGGAAGATACAACTGTAGCTTCGGCTATTAGTGATTTCTTCTTCAGATTTGGTAGGCCATATGAACTGCATTCTGATCAAGGCCGTAACTTTGAATCAGTTGTGTTCCATGAATGCTGCAAGTTGTTTGGCATACGAAAGACCAGAACAACGCTACTTCACCCACAGTCTGATGGGATGGTAGAAAAGTACAACTGGACACTGGGACAGGAATTGGCAAAGTTTTCTAATAGTCGCCAAGATGACTGGGATGTCTTACTCCCTCCACTGTTGATGGCCTATAGAACACCAAAGCATGAAGCCACTGGATACACTCCAGCAAAGTTGATGTTTGGTCGTGAACTTCGGTTGCCAGTGGATCTGTTAACAGGACGCCCACCTTACGAAGAGTTGCCTGAAAGTGTGTCAGAGTTCGTGAAAGTGTTATCAGAAAGGATGGATAATATTCACCATCAAGTGCACTCAAACTTGAAAACTTCTGCTGATTTGACTATTGACTCTTATCATAAGTATCATGTTATGATAAAGAGATCTACTGAAGTCAGCTTTGTACCAGGAGACAAGGTGTGGTTGTATAATCCCAGGAAGACCAAAGGGAAGTCTCCTAAGATGTCATCTCCATGGGAAGGCCCATATGACATAGTGGATCGTCTTTCAGACGTGACTTTCCGAATAAAATGTGGTCGGCGAAGTAAGCCAAAGGTGGTGCATGCCAACAGGCTTTGGCGATATCACAGTCCAGGACATTTCAGTTGGGGCGAAGTGAACAATGAAACAAATGATGCTGCTGAAGACATGTCACCTGAAAAAGCCACTGTCGGAGAAGAAACTCTACGCGGTTTAGAGAAGGGAAACAGCGAAGCCCTTGATGAAGTTACTTCCACTGATGTGACTGTTACTGATGGTAGGACAATTCCCGATGGAGCAGATGAACCTCACGTGAAGCAGAAGCTAACGAGATGGAGACCAGTATGGAAGAAGATACATCCCGTAAAATTAAGAGACTTTGTTGAATTTTAATTTTTGTTAGTAAAGTCTGTACATTTAATTAAGTTATTGTTAATTTTCTATCGGTTTAATGTAAGTGGCTATTGTTCGGGACGAACAATACTAAGGAAGGGGCAGTGTTGCGACAGCGGAAGTCACGTGACGCTAGTAATACGTCATGAGATTCTAGAAGGATCTTGTCTGTTAGTGGCAACTCTAGTCTTCTCTATGCGCCCTCTATTTTTGTATGTATAAGCAGGGCAAAAGAAGTGACGGCATGAATAATTGAATAGCAGACAGGGAGATAGAGACGGACAATCGAGTCAAGCCGTAAGTAAAGTGCCTGAGTCATTGTGAATTATAGCGTGTGTTTAAGTTAAAGTCACTGTCGAAATTAAGTGTATTGCAAAGTTGGATTGAGAAAGAATAAACTAGTTTTATTTAATTAAGGACTTGTATCGCAGAAGTTTCTCGGAAAGAATTTCTACGGAAAATTAATCAACGATCAGAGATATAATATGTATTGGAGAATGGTCGACAAAGCAAGCAAAAATATCATGTTAATTTTTTTTTAGTTTCTGTGTAAAAACGGTAATATAAATGCATAAATCCCACAAGCCATAATTATAATTTAAAATAAACCAGAAGATCAATGTAAAACAAAAAAGCTTGTTTCCACACATCAAATATCATATAGGGAAAACTTTCTATGATTGTCTAGCTTCAAATTAACCATATCACTAAATGTATATTCTGAACATACACACATTATTATGTGCAATTAAAAACGTAGTATAATCACAAGAACCTGAAGAACTTTTTCCCTACAAATCTGAAAGCTTGTCATATATTTCGTGGAATAATGTACTTGTGGTGAAACAAAAACCATAAAAAATGGACTTGTAAAATTTACATAAAAACAAATATAGTACATAACTACAAACAGAATTTGACAAAACAATTAAACAAACCGATTCATCAATGAAACAGAAATTAACTATGTAACTGCATCACTTAGGTTATGAAGCACTAAAATGAACCTAAGTAAATTAAAATGTACTTTAAAATATTTTGAAAAAAAATGGAAATGTTAAAAATTAAAGCATCTTCCAGCCATAAATATCTGAAAGGCTTCAAAGGTAAGAAATATTTAACTCTTGAAAATGTCTACACATTTTTTGGTACAAATAAAAACTGGCAATGTAACCTTCATCAAAAACAAGATAGCTCAATTTAGTTGTGTCATAAATTCTCTAAAGTAAAAAGAAGAGCTCAATATTCTGTAGAAGCAAAACAATTCAAGAAAATGTAGTTAATTTTATTTAAAAGAAAAAAAAATTCTCCACAATGAGAACAACCTTAAATATTCTCCACGAGAAATGTGCATCTTAAATAGTTCATCATATTTGTTCAACCACTTCATACGAGCGTTTTTTCCTTTAACTTTAGGTGAACAAGTACAACAGCTTATTTGTTCAACCGCTTCATACGAGCGTTTTTTCCTTTAACTTTAGGTGAACAAGTACCACAACTTATTTGTTCAACCACTTCATACGAGCGTTTTTTCCTTTAACTTTAGGTGAACAAGTACCACAGCTTATTTTGACAACTTTTTTTTCCTTTAGTTTTTTAAAAATAAAATATAGAAGTTCTAAAGATTTATAACTGATAAAAAATATGGGGAACTAGCTAAGAATCAACAATTTTCCTAGAATTTAGAAAAGATGCAAAATTAATTCTAACTATTGTTTAAGTCTCCTTATTCTAAATAGTAAGTATAATCTAATCTTTAAAGAAAAGTACCTTAAAACTCAGATGCAAGCTTCCTGAAGTAACTGAATGACTTGTATACTTTTCAAGCATTTTCCAACACCTAATGCTTACCTAAATTAACCCAAAATTGAAAAAGGACATCTCAACAAATTTCCAAGAATATTTCAAATTAACAATATTTTCCATAAAAATATAATAACATAAACTTTTACAGTAGGCAAGTTGTGATTTTAATGATTACAACATTTTATTGGGTCATCTTTAGGTAAAGTTACATTCTTTTTTAATGTAACTTTTACCTGATAACAACCCAATAGTATGGGTTGAAATGTCGTAATCATTAAAATCACAACTTGCCTACTGTAAAGTTGCTTTAATTGTATTTTTTAATTATTTATTCAGTTCACTAATATTTTCCCCAGCTTTGTGCCCAACGAACTTAGGTGCAATATCTTGTACGAAAAGTAGCACCAACTTGACAAACAATATACATTATAGATTTTTCAATGTCTGCTTAGAACATACATTACTAAATTAAGAATTTGAAGGATTTATTGACAAACATTCTATGTGTTGTTTGGGATGATGTAACCTAAGTTTATCTTACCACAAATCACTTTGTGGGAAAGTATAAGAACACTACAAAATTCCAACTGAATAGCAATTAAATTGTGTATTAATTAAGTAAAAAGATAGGCTGTTTAAGAAAGTGAACAGATGAAGAAATTTAATGCTTGATAACTATTTGCATATATTTTATTTTTACAATAATTATTACAAAACATTTTAATCCTGAAAGACTGGTAGCATTGTTTTTTTATTTGTTTCACTAGACTTGCAATTTAATCAGTGTATTAAATAAAAACTTAATGTTAAGTGATTTAACATTTGAACTGCACAGAAAAAAGGGAAAATTCAATTAAAAAAAGCACAAAAGAACTTTTGCTAAATTATTTCAGTTTGCGAAAACAACATCTACAGAAATGAATATTCTAAATTTTTATAGTGATCATAGGAGGTTTAGTAGATATAAGTTCATTCTGCTGCATATTACTCCTTGTAAGTATCACAAAACTAATTTTTGTATTACTTAGTACTTTCATTTTCTGAGGATATTTTTTTTTCCAATGTCACTAAACAATAAAGTGCAAATAAAATTATACAACGGTAGCAAAATTAGTTCCAAAATATACTATATAAGAAAAAATTAGAATAATTTTTCAATCAGTAAATAAAACTACATAAAAGATATTAAAGAATATGGAAAGTTTCCAGTTTGACAATTACAAAGAAAAAAACAAAAAAAAATTTACTGCTAATGATAGTGCTATCAATTTTAACCATTTATTCCTTTCCACAATTTGTCATAGTTTGTTCATGTTACAATGATAGAATTGTATAGTTATAACTCAATTACACAAAAACAAATAAAACGTGCTCCATTTAAAGATAAATCCAGCTGAATAATTTTAAACAGTAAATTATATTTATTCTACAGTTAAGCAAAAGCAAAATCTTACAATTGTGATGATAAATCTTTTTATTATTTAATCATGACTACCAAGCTATGAAAATAATCGTTACTCTTGGTTTGACTTAGGATTAAAGTTACTTGATATTATGTTAATAAAAAAGGATTTATGGTAGGCAATAAATAAGATAATATATCTTTAATGGGTCATTGGAGGCAAAATAAAATATTCATTCTTAAGAAAAGAATTGCTATCACTTGCTGTAAATTTCGACCAAAACCAAAAATATTTGGGAGAACATCAAAGAATATGACACTTTTGGGATTTTTTCCTTCTTTATTTAACACACAACAACCTGGCAATAACAACAACAACTGACACATCATATCAAAAGTTATATGCCTGAAGCAATTGAATCACAAACAATAGTAGTGGCAGTGTGTGTGTGATACATAACAATTTTCAATTATTGTTATTAAAAAACAAGTGTATAACAACATTAACCATCAGAGGTCACTGTATGTGTTCAGAAACACAAAGCCAATAAATACAATTACCTATCTTGCTTCCAGAAAACAAAATACATACATAAATATATACATATATATTAGACACCTAAATAATATAGTTTTTCTTTTTTGGATTTCCACAAATTATCACTTAGTGGTTGAAATAAAAATGTTGCACTGTGATTAAATTTGATTTGATAAAGTTAACAGATGTAACAACTGAATTAAATTATGTTTTAAAATGAAGGTATAATCTTTTACCATGTATTATTTCTTTTCAATTTTATTGTACTATATGTGTATTTGATTTCTTGTAAATTGTTTTGTTGGATTTTTACATGTACTTATTTACTGGTGAAACATATTTCAGGGTGCTTTTCTCTTATACAAGAACTTAACTTGCAAGGTGTTAAAAAATCTTTTATGTTTTATATTATTGTGATAAACTCTTCTTCTGGATATTAAAGCATTTTAATTTTCATTAACTTAACCTCGATCACAATATTCTGTTGCCTCCCCATTCCCCCCTAAAAAGAATAATTGCCCCTTTATTTTACTTTCATTTTAAACATACAGTGGAATGAATCTTGATCCTGAATCCTTAAGCAGAAATAAAGAGTATTATGTGATCTACTAGAAAGAAAAAAGACTGAAAAGCTTGCCATCACACTAATTTTAGTAATAACAAACATTTTAAAAGCTAGAAATAAAGCCACCCATTTTAATTAAATGAGAAATGATAACACTAACATTCTACGAACAAAATCACATACAAAAAAAGAGTTTCACTGCTTTAATACTTCGGGTACAAACATTTCTTGACAAGATAAAAACTTTCTCATTGTCATTGGGTAAAAGTAGTAGCTACTAAGTCAGAACTCCGAAGAATGAAATGATTCCACTTGTCTTTTATAATTTTAGTTTCTGCTTGCTTGTTAAGTACATTTTCTTTCATTTATACTCTTCAGGTGGTTTATCAGAATGTTCCTTCAACTTATCCACATATTCTGCAATGATGTCTCGAAAGTGACTCCACGACTTCTCTGGGATTGTGATGGAAGTTCTAAAGTTGCTCTTCACCTGTAAAAAGTAAACATTTTTTACTGAGTACAAATGGTAGTCAGAATATTTTGTAACTGAAATCAAATTTTGTGCATTAATTCTGAAAGACTTACAAAAAAACCTTTGAAAAGTTTTTTGTTTATATAGTGATTTTCACATTAGTTTGACTATCACTAAAACGAAGCATGTATCTATGTATGACAGTTAATATAAACAACTCTATGCCTATCATGGTTTGAATATTAAAAAAAAGTTGTAAATTTTATACGTATTATAATTAACTTAAATTACAATTAATCCAACATTAACAATGAAACTATGACAACTCTGAGGTAAAGGAATGAATTCTGAACATTATCATTCAAAAAATATCAAAAATGTTATATTTGACTAATTTATTGTATGTTATAAACCATACATAACTGGACTTATTGTGAAAACTTTTATCAAACACATGATCCTTACGCATATGAAGTACACTATTCATAAAAATTAAAAGGATAATGAAGTTTGTTTAAATTTGTATATATTTAGGTTATCAACTTTCTTTTCAAATCTAGCATGCTTACTGTAGAGGATTACACTAATCGTACTTAGGGTGTGCAAGTTTATGCAGCAATGATTCCTTATATAATAGGCCTTTATGAAAAATGACCCAAATTCTGCAAAGAAAAAGGCAAGTTTTGACTGATTAGGAAAGATGTTTACTGTTAAGATAATGCTAGGTTTATAGTTTGTTTTGCTGGTATTGACTTTTGTAAAGAGTGGGCAAGTTGTTAGAAACCAATTAATTGAAGCTGAAGCTTGTAGAGCTGTCACACTGCTACAGGAGGGTAGCACCCAGACTGAAGTGGCACAGTTCATGGGGGTATCACAATCTGTGGCCAGTAGACTGTGGCACAGATACCTTGCCACAGGAAAATACATCAGAAAGCCAGGCCAGGGTTGCAATAGACAACCTATATCTGTAGAATGTAGCCCTTAGAAACTGCATTAGCAATGCTAGGGGCCTCAGGAATGAGCTTCTGCAAGCCACTATAGTGCATGTGTTGTGCTCAACAGTCAGGAACAGACTTCATGAGAATAAGCTTGGGTCCAGGATACCAGTTAGAGCCTTGGTACTGACCCCAAGGTACCTAACAACCTAGCTGACATTTGCCCAGTAACATGTAGCCTGGACCTTTCAGCAATGGACCCTGTACTGTTCACAGAGGAGAGCAGGTTCTATGTATCTTCAAGTGATCGACATGCGAGGTTCTGTAAATGTGAAAGACACCAATATTTAGGGTGTAATATTGTCTGACATGATGCATTAGGGGTGGCATCTGCATGCAGAAGTGTACAGACCTCTACGTGGTGGATGGAGGATCTCTTACAGCAAAACATTATGTGAATAATATCCTGCTACCCATTGTTCACCTTATTTTGTTGGTGCTGTCAGAGATGAGGTTCTGGAAACGTGAAGGACACCAATATTTAGGGTGTAATATTGTCTGACATGATGCATTAGGGGTGGCATCTGCATGCAGAAGTGTATAGACCTCTACGTGGTGGATGGAGGATCTCTTACAGCAACACATTATGTGGATGATATCCTGCTACCCATTGTTCAACCTCATCTCTGACAGCACCAACAAAATAAGGCGTGTATCAGCATGATAATGCTTATCCTCACACCACTAGGATCATGCAATATTTCTTTCAGGATGAAGAAACAGAGGTATTGGATTGGCACCCTAAGTTACCAGACCTATACCCAACTGAGAATGTGTGGGATTTGCTAAGAAGAGCAGTTAGAGACAGACAACCAGCTCCTATGACTGTCCAGCAAGTCATTTGAAATGTCATTAACAGTATAAGGAACAAGTGCACAGGAAGACCAAACAGCTACTAAAGACTTAATTTGTTAAGTTTGATAACCTTAATAAGTTAGTTTTTCATTGATACTTGTGTAGGCATATATTGTAATTTTTTATTTTTAAATGAGTTTTAAACTTGCTTGATATTATTTACCTGTGATATTTGTAATAAACAAGTCTTGGTCAATATTGAACAAATCTATGTTTTTTTTCTTAAATGTTGAAAAACATATCAGACTCGTTATCCTTTGATTTTTTTTTAGTAGTGTACTTCCCTATGGTCAGCAAAAAGTGAAATACTAAAACTTGTTAATGAAACAGGTAATCTTTTGATTTATTAATGTACAAATTTAATATCTTAAACTTACAAAGATTAAACTAACTCTGTACTAAACAGTGATTAAAAGTCAATTCAAACAATATGTAAAAAATTTTGTGTCCTGCAGCTTTTGCCAGATTTTTAAATTTCCTGAAATACTTGAACACACACATTTTATTTCTAGTCTGTAAAGCCTAGTTCCATAGTAGTATATTTAATTACTTATATTAATTATAGCAGGCGCAGATCCAGGGGGTCTAGACCCCCCCCCTTTTTGGGCAAAGCCTAATTAAAATTTGTTTCTAATATCTCAAAAAAACCCAAGTAATCATAAATTAACCTTAAAAACAAAATTTATTATTTTGTTTTTTTATCTAATATAAGTAAGATAAATGCTTTCTGTCTTATTCTTTCACTTATTTTTTTTTCACTTTACTTATAATTTGTTTTACTTTACTTTTTAGTCAACTCCAGTGCTAACAAAGCTATGACTGTAAGTAAAAAATGGTGGATCACTTATATATTAGCGATTTTTCCTTCAATATCTAAAAATATATCTGTCTTTTTTTAGGTACCAAACTATGGAAAAAAGAAAAGCTTCACAGGTGGCAATAACATTTTTTTTTATCAAGAAATCAAGACCGAGTTCTGAGGATGATTTTCATCAACTATCAGAAAATCCCACTCTGGAAGCTGACACAAGCACCCTAGGGGCAACAGAAGATCCAACAACTGCCATGCCTTCACCATGCATGTCAAAAACGACAGAAAATATGGATCCGATTGGAGAGTACGATGACTTGGGATTGTTTGATAGATTGACACTAACTGATAATGAAAAGATGCAGTTTTCAAAACATTTTTGCCCTGATAACAAGTTCATCTTTCCTGTACGACAACACAAGTGCAAAAATCTGAAATTTAAATTGTCCTGGCTTGATCAATTTTCATGGCTTGTGTACTCCAAGGAGAAGAATGGTGGATACTGCTTACCCTGTGTGCTCTTCGCACGCAAATCCAATGGTAGAGGCTGCCAGTTTGGCATTCTTGTTGAAAGACCATTTATAGACTTCCAAAAAGCTTTAGGCAAAGATTGGGTGCTGCCAAACCATGAAGAAAACATTCCATAAGTTGGCAGTGGTGGCATACTGTGACAGAAAGCACGTAGAAGAAAATCCTGCAGATCGTGTGGACATCCGATTACAAAGACAGCAACAAAATCAGTATGAAAGGAATAAGGATGCACTAGGAAGTATCAAAGAATGCATTATCTTTCTGGACTGTCAAAGATTAGTGTTACGTGGACACAGGGATGATTCTACAGCAGATCCTGACAACAACAAAGAAAACCTTCAAGAACTGATCGAATTTCGTGCAAAGACAGATGAGGTGCTGTTGCATTCAAATCTTTGTTTCTTTTTCCTTCTTGAAGCACTTATTCAAATCTTTTTTCTTTGTTTTTTAATTCAATACGCTATTCAAATTATTTTTGAAGTATATTACACGATATTCAAATATGTGTTATTTTGTAAAAAAAACAATTATTCAAATTACTTAGTGTGTATATATAGAGTTGCTTTTCTAACATTATCAGTTTACCTTTTTATTTTTTCTCTTCACATTTTTGTTGAATAAAGCTCTAAGTTGCCTTTCTATCTTCACCACAAGTGCTAAGGACCTTCACACAGTCATGCCCCAAAAATGCAACATACATATCAAAGACCACTCAGAATGACATTTTGGAGGTACTGGATGAAGTTATTTGGGAGTCAATAACATCAAACATCTGTGATGAACATTGCCCTTTCTTTAGTATCATTGCTGATGAACTCACAGATGATATTGCAAACAAACAGATCTTGTCATTGTGTGTCAGATATCTCAAGTACGTTGAAGGTGATGTCTCTAACATTCAAGAGGGCCTGTTAGCTTTCATTTATATGGAATGGGCCACAGCAGCCCATCTTGTCAAGGGAATTCGCTCAAAACTGAGCTAGTGATCTGGTGAAGGAGGTGGAAGAATTGTGAGAACTCTCCAGATACTCTAATCAGTGCCCTAAAATCTTGCTCTAAGGATTTGTTTTCAAATCTTCATGTGCCGCTTCAACTTGGATGCCTCATTCCTATCACTAACTGTGAAGCAGAAAGATCATTTTCGTCTGTTCGACGAACGAAGATGACGTTGCGATCAGTGATGTTGGAGGACCGCTTTAGTGCAATGGTATTGCTCAACTCTAACCGCAGAATTCAAATTAACGTACAAGATGTTATTCAAAGATTCATCCTCAAAAAGCCATGCCGATTTTTTTCAACCTTGTACAAAGAGTAGACTTTATCTCTTGATGAAACAGGTATCAATGATGGCTGTGTTGCAGTTTCGACTTTTGAAGCGAGTAAACTATCAAATAGCCTTTTCGTTCATTTTTTATTACTAATAAATATTTCAGCTTACAAAACTTTTATTTTACGTGAAATATATTCTATATAAATACTTAAATTTTCTATTTGGACCCCCTCCTGCTCAAAATCCTGATTAATTTTCAGTTTTGAATTGAAGAGGTTGCTTTCATCAGAAGTTATTGATAATAAAAATTGCACAACATAAGGGTATTATATATCATCCACTATACTTACTGGTATACACTTCCTGTTTATCTTAACATATTATAGATATTTTATTATTTTTCAAAATTACCTCTTGTGTGAATATATTTAACACTTAACATACGTTTGCCATGATCTATGTATAAAAATTTTAAGACTATTCCACAAGAATTAGTAATAAAATGAAGGAATTCTGTAATATTAGATTAATCAATAATAGTCTTACCTCAGATACACGCATGTATACTCCCCTACAGTTTTGGCCCACATCAAAATAGAAGTTTTTGTTTTCTATGCGCATGTGGCGAGCCTCAGGTAGATCCCCTTTAAATTCTAGAGATGAAATTACCTTTCTTAACTATCCTTCATTAAATTAATAACATTCATGTAAAATTAAAATATACCTATAAAAATTTAAATTATTTAATATTCAAATTCAAAAATCAACCAAAATCACATTCTGAAAACAACTCAGGGGGTATATTTTTGAAATTTTTAAATATTTGTTACAGGGTGGTAATAAGTGAATTTTTTCTTCTGAACTTATAATGAAAATATCTGTAAGTAATAAAAATACCAGCCTCGTCAAATAGTTGAATTCACAATTGAATAAGAACAATTGAGTAATGCCATTGCTATTGAAAAGGTAAATGAACTTATCTTTAGCTATACGTTCCTCTTGCTAGCAACTGTTGAAATAATATATTTCAGGTAAATACAAAATTTTTGGTCATAATATTTGAATCTGTTTACAATTAAGAAAAACTCTAATGATCTTATTACTTAGAAGTTGATTTCATTGCTCAGAAATCAAATGCTTGTTGCAATAAAAAATATATTTCTGTAAAAGTAAATACTACAGCAGAGAGGAAAGTGTAAATAAATGCCTTAAAAATATTTTAAAACTATCTAAAAAGTAACCAAAAACTACCAGGTTGAAACTATAGTATAGGGTGTTGGTATAACATTTTGGGTAGTTGTCACCTCCAATATGGCTGTGTTTTGCATATAATTTTTTCTATAGTTCTATAAAGCTTTTGCAGATTATTGACTGATTTCAAAGGCTAATGATTTGCAAGAGCTGCATAAAACATGCTCTGCAAAAAGTGCACCTATCTTTTTCAATATTTATTTTGTTTTTTGTACTCTATCTTCCTCCCACATAATGACATGACATGGCACTAATTTGAATCTAACTTCTAGTACTGTTCATGTAGACAAATTACAATTACTTTCAAAATATTTAAACCTAAGTCATGGTATTTTCAGCCATATAACAGTAAAATACCTGGAGCTGTGGTAAAGCTTCATGTAAGAAATGTGTGAAGACATGCAATGTGTTGCTGAAGAGACTGCATACTACACCAAAAACATTATACTTTTCTGTTCTATATTAATGATTCTTGTTTTAAAATTAACAAAATAAATGTCCAGCACCACAATTAGAATGCTCACATAGAATTATTTTTTCTCTACACTTTATATTTGGATTCCATAATCATTGTGTTAGCTACCTAAAGTAAAGTTCTAAGGTTTTATTTATTTTATTTTTTCATTCCTTCACCTTTCTAAGCAAGTGTGTGTGTAGGTTTCTGATAATGCTCCATTTTGAACAACTTTTGTTCTTCTATTTTCTGAGCCACGTCTATCATTACTTTCTGATTTTGTCATTCCTGGATCATCCAATTAGGCCCATTTGTAAATTTTATTATTAATATTCTCTTGCCAGGCTACAACAAAAACAGCTTGGTATATTGCATCCAAACCTTTGTATAATACTAAATAAGGTACTGCAAAGGTTGTAGGAGTATCGAAATGTCAATTTGTTTTGTCTATATATTTTATATAAGCTAAAACCATCATAATTCTAGCATAAACAATGATATCATTAATTCTTGAAATTAGATTATTTACAAATATCTAGTGTTCCTTTAAAAAGCTTAATTACAAGGTGAAACAGAAATTACCAACCAATAATAGATTAGTGTAACATGGAGATACTCAATGCTTTGTACACTATAGAATCAATGTCTTTAGGGAGCCGAGTTAAGGTATAAAAAAAAAATCAATACACATAATATCAAATTTTGTTACACACATTTGTAGAATAATTACTTAAAAAAACAAGAAGGCTTATTTACAGCAAAGTTACAGACATATATGTTTTATTTGGAAAGGCTGCTTTTCTACTGGTAAAATTGCTTTTTTCATGATTAGTGGTGTTTTTTTCTTTGTCTAGGCATATATTTGTCCATTGTTATGCATTATATAGAGATAATTTAGTTACACAGAAAATATAAATGCTCACTATATTCTCAATCAAATCTCCATGACAATCTCCAGCTGCAGCTTAACATTTTACATCTTGAACTAATGTGATCAAATAGTCAATAGCTGCAGTAAATCATCATGAACTATATCAGCTAGCTACTAACTATGTTTATTATCATTACAATGTATAAAGTCAGCTACCATATCATGTAGCCCTTTGCCCATAGTTGAGCATAAAAAAGTCAGCAAACAAGATAAATAGAAAATTGGGAATTTAAAAACCTGCAAACAGGGATAATAAAAAAAGTAAGGAAACAAGGCTGGAGATACTGTAGACATTATTTATTCAAACTATCCCTATTTTGACTCCACCAAATGTAATTCTAGGTAACAGCATGGAGTCAAAATAGAGGTTTGTAGCTTGAGTAAATAATGTCTACAGTATCTCCCACCTTGTTTTTTACTTTTTATGATCCCTATTTGCAGGTTTTTAAATTCAAAATTTTTTATTTATCTTGTATTTATACACAGGCACATACCTAAATACATAAATAGACAGTGAATGTCACAACAGTGAACTGGTGACCACTTAATTTGCCTCAGCTGATCATTATATATTTCTTAATTTGACTTTGTTGCTATTACTAAGTGGTTGTACTTAAAATGAGTTCTTTAGTTTTTTAACACATCAGTAATATGCCAGAGAGACATTTTTAGACAATCAAGTTTATTGAGTATTATGGATTAGGGTTATTAATGTACAATTTTACACTTTGTTACTTTCAATATTTGTAAACTAACAAGATTTAATTCCATAATTACCATTGTAATGCAATTACCAGTTAAAGCTATTCATGTAAATTTCTTTAGACATACTTCTGATTTCTTTTCTTCACAGATATTGTCCCTATTAACCTTCCTGAGCAACTTTCAGGTGTTGATTGCACACCTGCATATGAAATTTCATAATTTAAGAAAAAATAATAATTCTAACTATTTGAACAACTTTTTCATCCCAAAATATTTTAGAATTGATATTTTGTGATCTTGTAAAACTTGTGTTGTGTAATTTGCACAGAAAAATAAAAAAAATTTCAAACTTACATTTCTGCACAGCTCTAAAGGGACTCACCTATAAACAATGCACTTATTGATTTTTTAGAACTTTTCTGCACATCAAACATATAGGAATATTTCTGATAAGAAACTGTCTCCCCTTGAGGATTCTCAGGGTTTTGTTTTCAGATGAATTTCCTTCTCTTTCTCTGATTTTAGTCCAATGGCTTGTTATTTCCACCTTTTTTTGACCTCACAGCATGTTATCAGAATAATTAATAATGTATCTCTGCTTTTAAAATAGCTACAGGCAAAATTTAAATACCATTGGATGGAGGATATTATAATGAAAAGTTCATAAAATGGTTTGAAAACTAAGTTATAGTTTTTGTGGGAAAGTGAAAAGGCATAGCTAGCACAAATTAGAACAATATAATGTTGTGAGAAGTAATTTATGGTTTCATGAGAAAGTGAAAAGGAATAGCTCATGCATAGTAGAGCACTAGAATACAGTGGGAAGTTCAAAAGATGAGAATTTGTAATTTTTTTTAGATGTTCCTTTGTTCAGGAAAATGTTAAATTATATTTTTTGAAAGCTATACTAGTTAACAACATATTGTTCCATCAATTAAAATGTAATTCAAACCCATATCTATTGACTATTATTGTTAACTTTATCATATTCAAATAACACATATAAATAAAGTAACTTATAATTTATTGAAAAGAAGGTATTTTCATTGAACATAAATTGATTTTGACCAAGAATTTGTTCCATAGCCTGACCTGAAACCATTGTAACAGGTTAGGTCATAGATGACAGAAAAATCTTTGTTAGTTTATGATTTATATCCAGAAGCAGCGACTACTGAAATCATCAAAATAAACTGATTGAATCTATAAAATGGAAATTTTTGATAGATGGAAAAAAACTGAAACAAAACAAAGTTTTGGGGAATTTACAAAATAAAAAACAATTGTTATTCTTTGTTGAGCTTTGTGCAAAGCTAACCTAGGGCTATCTGTGTTATCTATCCATTCCTAATTTTGAGGTGACTGACTAGAGGGAAGGCAGCTAGAGAACACCAACCTCCATCAACTTGTAGGCTACTCTAAATGAACAGTTGAATTTATATCTTACCCTTATATCACAACCACAGCATCAAAACAACTTTTTTTTCTGGTGGTAAAAGGGCACAAACTATGTATCTTCAGTCTGCCATTCTAACCACTGGGCCATGCTTGCCCCCCAAAACTAAATTGAACTAAATTAATTTTTTTAAGCCTAAACAATTTCCTATCTAGTAAAGTTGTCCTAAGTTTCATGCAACTTGGTTAAAGTAGAAAAATTGAGGGATATCAATGATACTTCCCTGAGAGATGTAAGGACTATATATCAATAATAGTAAAATATTTGAATGTGTCCAAGCTTCACACAGCTTCGTGATATAATTGTCTGTACACTGAAAATAACATGCCCTTTTGTAGTAATTCCTTTATCAAACTTTGCATTTGAATTAAAAGTGAATGTTTTGTTGTTTATATGTGTTGAAGAATGTGTATTAGATCATTATGAATCAGAATCTTTAAAGACTGCTACATAGTGACACATACTCCAAACTGATAAGAAGAAAGGTATAGGGGAGGTATTTCCCACTCCCCTGGTAGTGCAGCACTTTTATCAGTTTGTCATAAAACAAGTAAGATAAGATCCTGCAACTTTCCTTCCAAACTTATCAACCAGTCAGAATTACACATAGCTAGAACCTTATCAGATGCTCATTACTGTTGTTGGTTTTGCAAATAAAGTAACATCAACAGCAAGCAATGTACTTGATTCCCTAAAGACAAAGCTGGAAAAAGCAGATACAAGAATAACTTCACATGCAGCTAATTCCTCAAGCACATGCTTCAAGAGAATTGTTATTTGGTGTAGAGATAACTCATGTGCTATATTGCTACTCTACTTTTTCAGAGTTGGAAACAGAGACCATAGTATATCCCTATTAAATTTATCAGACAGAAAATTCAGAAGATATGTCCTGTGTTCTACCTGCTAATCATGCCATCACAGGTTGTGACAACGCCAGCTAGTTTGCTAATATTGGAAAAGCAAGTCATGGAAAATGTTCAGTCAAAATCCATCTCTGCTTCTTTCCCTGGGAAGAATGGAGTTATTGTCTGAAATGGTGCTGAATCTGATAAAGCATCTGTTGTTTCAAGTGCTTCTTCAAGATGATATATGAATAATCAAGATCAGTTGCATGCAAAGTTGATGAGTAAAGCAGTAGCACAAAGTCATGAATTGCTGGTTTGCAGGTGCAAAACAGGTTGCACAAGATGTACGTGTATCTGTCACAAAAACTCACCAGTTACATATACATGCTTGTGTCATTGTAAAGACTGCGTAAATGTTTACGCAGTAGACAAAGTTTCTTCAGGTAATGAGCTGTCTAACTAGCTTTCAGTGGCACTCATATGACAGTGCATATTTTTTTACTGAAACTAGATTTTTGATGTACTGCAATCCAAGTATAGATGAACAGACTATATTTTGTGGACTAATTCAAAACATGGGTGATATCAATAATATAAATAATTATATTGAGGGAAAAAACATTTAAAAGTAAAACAATTCTTTTCTGCAATTTTTTGCTTACATAAATAAACACCAAATATCTAAGTTACAAAAAAAATATTCAGTTTCATTGTGTTACAGAGAGAGACAAGATCATATGATATCATCATATTTCAGAAAATGTGTTAATTTTGATATTTTGATCCTATGGACCCAATGACCCCTGCCACACCCATCCAAATACTCAGGGAAGGTGATTGTCACCTGTCAATGACCCTGAAAGGCGACCCTATAATCCCAACATGGTAGTTGTTGGTTACTTTCAAAATCTAGAGCTATAACATAGAGCTAACCTGTTCACCTAAGATGAATAAATCTATTTTAATATACTCTCAAATTAAAATAAAAAGACAATTTTCTTTCATTTATTTACATGAAAGTTTAGAAAAATTATGGAATTTAAATTTCAGTTGTTAACGTGATTAAGAAAATTAACTTACATATCACAACAGGATATTTCATTCTTCCCTCTATATCTTTACAAGATAAAGATAAAAAAAACTTAAAACTGTTCCAATCTAGAACTTTAAAAATATTTTCTTTGTCTGGTAAAAACAAATTTTTCATCCTTTTTTATTTACAATGAAATTTCGTGTAGCCATATATGATGCAAAAGCATTCCTGTATAATAGTTATATTCAGAAAAATGGTAATTTAAAGTAAGAAACATACCTTGTGATGTGTCTCCTTCAGTTCCAAATTCTTCGAGAAGGTCTGTAAGTGCATCACGAAATTCTATCATTCCTTGGGCTGGAATAGCAACTTGGGAACGAGGACCTCCTCTAGTTACTGTTTGGGAAATCTAAAGAGTTAGAGAATCAAAGTGTGAAAAATCAAAATATAAATAAGCTATGAATACATAGAATGAACTGTTAAGAAAAATATAAATACTTTTATACATAATATGGCTAATGAGTTTGAACATCTTGGAAATCTTAATATTAGAAAGATATTATTTCTGATTCTAAAGTACAAAAGATAAGATTACTGAAATTAATTTAGTTATTCTTGAAATTTATTCCATTCATTCTTAATTTCCATTCAACCATCTATAATTTGTGTATATTAATTCAAGAGCTAGATATGAAACCATTAATACAGCCACACAGAAACTGGAAGAAAAATAAAAACTGAAGGTAGTTACAATGAGTAAGCATTAAACTGAGGAAGCTATGCTTTTTCTACTAAGGATTACATCTTATTTCTGCACATTATCTGACAAGAGGAAGAACACATTTTGTAAAGGCTGGATTTTGAGTTTTTTTATCTTCCTATATAGCTTCTCTTATAAAGTTGATCACTCTGAAATCCAAACAAACCTTTAAAATAATTTAACATTTGAATGTACAACCTTTCTGTTGGCCACTATATTGGGAATAATTTTTTTTTGGTTGAAACTTACAAATTTAGCAGGCAACTCACAGTAAAGGAATTCTGTTTTAGTGGATATTGATGGAAATATGGTTACTCACTTTGCCCCACTTTTTAGATTTTCATACTTGTTTTATGTTGCTTATACTGAATAATGATTGAACCAAACTCGTACGACTTCAGAGCAGATTCAATGCAATCCTAACTGTACAACAAAAGAAATATCTGTAGCTAAAATTGGCTAATATGTACACTCAATTAAACATATTGCTTCTGATTTTCAAATGTGCTAGTTATCTATTTTGGGTGAAAAAAATATAATTTTAAATATTTTTAATCCATTTTCTTAGTAAGTATAAATATCAAGTCATTTGATAAAATCATTAAGGAGTCTTTAAATTAAGACTTTAATAACATGTTAAGAAATTGGGTTTGGTATAACACTAACACTGAGGATTAATTGCACTTCATAAGAATGATATTGTAGGTCTTGTAATGCTTTTAGAACTACATCTTTCACTGTGTCTGTGCTTAATCAAATAGTCATGAATGTATGGTATACAAGCATATCATGTGTTTTCTTCTTTCTCATGTCATGTAGAATTTTTTCAAAATGTTTAATTTATTTCAGGTACCTCCAGTTTTCAACAACATGTGGTCAAGAAAGTCATTAAGTTGATTTCGTTCTACCTTTTTTCTCTGTCATTCCCTTGGAGATATCTAGTTTGTCCATGGAATTTACTGCTGTAAAGTTGCACATTGTGCATGAAGGTCAACATCAATAGTCAGGCAAATCTCAAGATTACAGCTTTAATGGGAATGACCAGTTGGGTGGGTAGCATTAGTTGCATTGGTTAAGCCTGGCATTACCCATTCAACTAGGTAAGATGAGATTTGGTCATTCTGGTAGAAGATCTCAACTAGTGAGTCTGGAACATCTCCTTGAGTGAGTGAATCAGTTAGTTTGAAAATAAGTTGTTAGGGCATACAATCAGCCTGATCAATTCGCAGCTCCAGTAAAAGTGACTGTCTATTTTCCATAAAGTGAAATACACATGGTGTTAGTTTTTACTGTGTTAAATAAAGTGTTTGTTTTCACCATGTATCATACCTTGTGTCTAGTCAACTAATTTCTTAACACCAACTCATTTATTTTTTAGTGGCATTCAGTATTGCTTCTCAATTTATCTTGCCAAACCCCCCATTATGTAGCAGACTTAACTAATTTACTCTGTCAGGAAATCAGTTTACCTGAAAATTGCACAATGCTCTTTATCACTGCAATTTTCTTTATAATAAGCTACAGCAAATGATGGCAATCTCAATCTCAGACTACATGTCTAGATAAGCTTTCTGACCATCCACTGTTCATTTGTATTGTCTGAGAATACCAAAAGGACAAACGTTCATTGAAGCTGTAACAGGAGGCTTAATACATACAGGCTGGCTACATTCTTTAAGAAATTTATTACAAACTTCCTTGTCAAAATTTCAACTGTTCCATACCTGCACAGGAACATTCATAATACACTGAAACTTAGTTCCCCAGTGGGTCAGTAGTAAGTTTACAGACTTGAAATGCTAAAATCCAGAGTAATATCTCAGCAGTAAGTCTGAAGATTTATAATGCTAAAAACTCAGGTTTTGATATCTGCAGTGAGTAGAGCACAGCTAATCCACTGCGTAGTTTTGTGTTTAACAACAAATGCTGATATTTCAACCTAATTAACATCACTTGAGCTTGTAATATAATTAATAATGGTAATACAAACTTCAGAACATACTAATGTCATACTCTAATACTACAGAAAAAGATTTTCAAACAAGGACACTGCAACTTGATGTGATAAAATAAAATGTTGCATTCTTATTCATAGAAGAATATTTTCTTAAACTATAATCAAATATAAAACATAAGTGTTTGCTTATGTGCAAAGCTACACAGTGAGTTGTCTATGCTCTGTTAACCATGGGGAATCAAATCCCAGATCTTAGCATTGTAATTCTGTAAATTTATTGCTAACCCATTCGTGGACAATATAAAGTGGTTGACAAATGTTAGGTTCAGATATATGATAACTAGCAAATCTATATACCAATAGTTGTATAGCTATGCAGCATGGTTTGTTGCACATACAGATTCTGAGATAAAACTGGGGATGTACATAAAAACCAACTACAGCTACAGATAATTACGATCTTTTCAAAACTGACGTTATTCACTTACTCTTAGAAACCTTCCTTTAGTATTTTCCTTTAGGTCAAGATAATACCGTTTGTTTTCCTTTACCATAATTTCACTTTTTAATTTGCCATCTTCAGGTAAGTTATCTGGATTAGGAGGACCTGTTTTTACAAAAGGCATCATTAAAAATCAACATATTTAATAGTTATACAATCTAAAAAAATAATAAGTTTTAAGAACCATCCACTTCACTGAGTAGCAGAAATTACTAAAGATAATATGTAATATCTAGGTTAAAATAACATTCTCAAAACCTGACATAAGTTTGGTTTTAACTGGATAACAATAAATATTCAACGTAAGTAATTTCAACTGTCGGATTCAAATTGTAATTTCAAGGAAAAATATACATAAGTAGATGAATAACATATATTTTCAACAGTGATGTTGCAGATAAAGCTTTAATAAAGATCATAGCAATGATTTAATTTCTAGATCATTAATCTCCTCAATTCAGGTTTAAGTCTTTGAATATATCCATATAAAGTACAATGTTACTGGCCCAAACTTCAATTTCCATTAACAAAATTTTGGGGTTTATTATTTGATCTCACCAGAAACCCTTCATACTCAGAGTTGTCAATTACACACACACACATATATTTCTTTTTCTTAAACTACACATATCGTAAAGCCTACTTGAAGCTACTGGAGGATTCAGAAATATTCTTACATATCTTATGTCTGGTACAGAAATTCTATGAGAAAGAAAAAGTCACTTGGAAATTGACCTTGTCATTCAGATTGTGTTCCAAGATTGAAAAAACTCTAATATAAATCTAATAAATATATAAACAGTTGTTAGCAAGAAGCAAAATAGAATTATATTTATTTTAACCTAACAGCAACAACATTTATGGGAAATCATATTAACAGCAGTACATTAACTTTTTAAAAACAAAATATTTTGTAACCACTATCAAAGATGTCAATGCCTATGTTACAATTGTCATGCAATGTTTTATATATATAAACTTATGTGAATCAAATGATAAAATGTATGTTATAAAAATACACATTAAGATAAAAGTAGCAATAACATTCAGTCTTAAAGTATAAACTACTGTCATGTCCAATATACCATGTCATATTAAATATTTATTAAACACACATGCAAGTCTACAGTCTGAACTCAACTACTGATACCCAATCAATTAAAAGAAACATAATTTGTGATCAAATTGAAATATCACAATCTGTCAGCCACAACAAAAAATAGTTACTATCAAAGGTAGTATTCAAAAGTGTTTCATTAAAGTACATAAAAAATGTAATTTTTGACACCAATTTCAGGTCAGTGAGGTAGAAAAATGATGAATGTTTACATTTTGTCTAGAGAGGATGCTGTTGTGTGCAAATAATATTATTATAAAAAGACATTGTAGCATGTTTTATCCCTCTAAGAAAATGTTCTGTAGATTTGATTGATTTGAATATTTTTTGTCTTTTTTACAGATTTATTTCTGAAATTTGTTTGTTTGTAGTTGTGCACAAAGCTACACAATGGGCTATCTATGCTCTGCCCACCATGGGTTTCGAAACCCAGTTTTTAACGTTGTAAGTCCGTAGACATACCGCTGTGCCACTGGAGGGCAGTATTTCTGAAATAAAACTGAAAATTTAACCCACTACTAAACAGATAAAAAAAAGTAGTTTTTCTTATAAAGTTGTAATATAATAAGTTTTACATATGAAATAAAAGTTGTAGTTAGCTTCATTAATGAGAGTACATAACCATGCAATAATTTAGTGAATAAGGACTGAATATCAAAGCTGGCCATGTTGAACTAGCTTATATTAGGAAACCTAGATATATCTTTAGCAGAGGAAAAAGAGTTTTTAACACATTCGTTTTCAGTTATGTGAGCTTAGTGCAGGTACAAAAAGTTCATAGATGTGGAAACCAAGAGTAGACAGAATAGGTCTAATGGGTAAACCATTTTTATGTATTTTCAGTAAGCCATTGGTAAATACTTGTAGGACTGGAACCTGTAGGCCAAGTTCTGCAAAAAAGGGGCAAAGATGAGTTTACAGATTTTTAAATATCATATAGTCCATTGAAGATTTCCCTCACACTTGAAAGTAAGCTGAAGCCAGACATTAAACTTTGTTCTGTCATTTAAAATGTCTTCCATTTTGGAGATATAATCATATCTGTTTAAAATGAAGACACCTGCATCTTTATCTGGCTCGATAATAATAACATTTCAGTTACTGGCAAATTCTTTTCAGGCAAAAAACTCAGCCTGTGTAATAGAAGGGTTTTTTAAGTTATAAGAGAGGACAATGGCAAATTTTTAAATTTAGTTTTGATGTAATTGTTAAATATACATGACTGTTTCAATTTAACTATAGCATGAGTGTAAAATTTAGTTATTTTTAGAAGTGACAGTTTATCCCAGGTTTGTTAAGATAACTGTTTATGAATCATATGTTGCGTAGTTCAATTGTTGTGGATTAGTGATTGTTGTATGTGATCCTGGGTAACAGAAATGGCATACAACTCGGCAGTGAACACAGAAACTGTAGAAGGGATCCTGTGAACAACCAATGAGCAACAGCAAACCACGGCAGAGCCTACAGAGTCCCCTGATTTTCAACCGTTTGTAAAAACGAGAACAGAAGAATGGTTCGAAAGTTGTTTGGCAAAGAGAAGATGGTGCTTGCAATCTGGAGCATCCATCCTCCTCAGATGACACAAGGAAAGGTCACAAGTGAGGATGTTAATGAGCCATGGTGGGATGGGCTGATCATCGGACTCTGCAATATCATCCAATGATAGACCCAATTCAGCCAGTTGTGCCTGGATATGAAGGCTAAAAAGAGGAATGGCAGACTGTCTAATCCCAAAGAGCATAGTGCACCGAGCAAGGAAGACACAACCCCAGGCAGGATGCTGTGTTAAGGATCAAAGCTTGGAAGCATATTACAAGGAAAGCTGTAAACATCTGAGGTGAAAAGGAGGTTCATAGGACTCAGTGTACAGGCTCTGGACTGGTGAAGTGTGAAAAGCCCCTGTGCAGAGCCAAAGCCCCAGATGATGTACAGAGCCCAGCATCGTCAAGGCAGATGCCCTAGCAGAACCATAGACCAGCTTGAAACGTATGAGGGCACAACAGATCTTCAGTATAGAACATCGACCTTCTCCCCAAAAGGTGGAAGAGAGGACACAGAAGATGTTCAGTTTGTGTACACTTGACACAAAGCTGCTTAATGTGAGGAATAAAAGTCAGCTTATGGTCAAACAGAAGTAACAAGAACTTTGTCTCAGGAACCATAGGAAGAACACCACTGAGACAGAGCTCAGGATCAGGATGTAAACCTCATTGGCAGCAAAAATGAATGCAAACGGTTGTAGAAGAAGAGAAGGTGAGGGATTCCAAGTTCCTGCATGAAACAATGGGACAGGGTCAAACCCACAGGGACTTGGAATCTCCTGCCAAGTAAAAAGTTATGAATAAAGATGGGCAAATGGCCACACAACCCATAGGTGTGGAGGTTCTGCAAAATGGCAAACTTCTATGTAGTGCCACAAGCTTTCTCAAGATCAAAGAAGATAGAAACAAGATGCTATCTCTTGAGGAAGGCTTCCCTGATCAAGGTTTTGAGATAAATCAGGTGGTCCAAAGTAGAGTACTGTTGACGAAAATCACATTGGGTGGGCAAGAAGAGGTTGTTTGATTCAAGGAACCAAACAAGATGAGCATTAACCACCCTCTCCGAAACCTTACTGAGACAGCTAGTCAAAGCAACAGGACAATAATTAAAAGGAATTCTGGGATCCTTTCCAGGCTTCAAAAATGTGATGGCAATAGCCTTGTGCCAAGCATCTGGAAAAATGACATTCTGCCAAATCCAGTTAAAAACAACCAGAAGAGAAAGAGAGGCAGGAGAGAGATAGTACTGCCAGATCAACGAGGAGCAATTTTAAGTTCCAATCTGCTCGAAAAGAAAGTGGCATTTGCTCAGCCCATAACTTGATGGCTAAGAAGGCAGGGGAAGAAATAGAAGTGCTGGAAAGGTGGGTAAAGCACTTCCAAGAGTATCAGTGATGCCCTGTACATCAACAACTTCCTGGCCATTGGAGAGCAAGATCAAAAGGGGTGGGAAGCATACTTTCCACTGAACTTCCTAATTTTGCCCCAGATGACCTCAGAACTGGTGGTAGAAGAGATGCTGGTGGTGAACTTAATCCAAGATTCCTTCTGGCTTTGACATCTCACCAGCTGTTGGAAAATTACATAGTTGGAATGAGTGGGATACCTGTGAATGATATCCCAGGCCCTGTGTTTGCTGGCAGGCAGGAGTTCACTATGGACTAGGATACCATGGGAAACATGTAGAGGTTTTGGGGATGGAAAGAACAGCTGTTTGAATAATACAATCAGTTACTGTCTCCATGCAGTTGTTATTAGATGGAAGACTAACAACAGCAGGATTGAGTTTTGAAAGAGCAGTGAAGGACAGCCAGTCAGCATACTACAACTTCCCCTGTAGCACATGAGTCAGTTGGTAAAGGCCGCAGCCAACCTCTTGAAAAATGATGAAAAAATCACTGCCTTGTGGGTCACTCTCAACCCTCCAAGAAAAATGGGAAAAAGTAAATGGGAACAAATGGATAGATCAATAACAGTGAAAGACTGATTAGGTGTGTGAAAATAGGTAAAAGAACCAGTATTAAAAAGGGAAAAGTTGTGACCTGAGAGCATACACTCCACAGAACGACCACTCCCATCTAAATCAGCACCACCCCAGAGGGAATAGTGTCCATTAACGTCTACCAATGGGAAAAGGGGAGATGGCAAATGTCCAATAAGAGCATCAAGGTTTCATTGACAATAAATCTCTCTTGGTAACAGGTAAACAGAACATACAATGATGGTAAAATGCATGAAAATGCATATGGCAACAGCCTCCAAAGGCATATTCAGTGGCACGGATATGGTGGGTATATGCTGGTCAACCAGCAGTGCCAAATCACCATGAACTCACCCATCATACAACCTGCCATTCCAGTATAAAGAAAACTGCTGAAAGGTGACAGCATCGGCAGGTCTGATTAATGTTTTCTGTAAGGAGAGACACACTAGATGATAGGAATCTATCAAGGACTAAATGCCATCCAAATCAGAATGAAAACCTTGATAGTTCCACTGTATCAAGGTGGCCATTTTTACTTAGGAGGAAGAGAACTGGGTGGAGAACTCTTTTATTTGCGACTTCAACGTTTTTCTTTAGTAGAAAGAGGACTGTTGACTTACATGGAAACTGCTCCTGGTTGATTGTGCAGATTTCTGTCAGAAAAAGAAGACTCCAGATACTGAGTGTGTGACTATATAATGGTTCTGCACTTCAGAGCTGAAGGAGAGGGACCCAAGCAGTCACTGGATGTGACAGTGGGGACAGAGACAGAATTTGATATAGACTCTTCAACTCTTGCATCCACTGAGAACAAAATACTCTGTACATGTTGAGAGAAAGCCTCTGATGGAGGCACAGAAAGATATATCTGAACTCCTACTGTATCAGTGGAATGAAGTGCAGCAGAATATGTCTGAGACGGAAACAGGGGACAACAAATCCGAGCCTCAGGGTAAGAAATGTTGTTTACAGTACATAAAAGTTGTACCACTTTGGACAAGAACAAAAGTATGAGGGATGTGAACCACCACAAATAATACAGTGTGGGTCAAGTTGACACTCACAGATAGCATGGTCTTTGCCACCACAACAAACACATATCAAAGAAACATGATAAGATACTTTAGAATGTCTGAACTGCTAGCATTGGAAACACCTAAAAGGGTTAGGAATATAAGGCCATATTTTACAATTCAAATAAACTGCCTTGAAAGTGGCAGGTGGATGTAGCAATATAAATGTCAATATAAGAACATTGGTAGGCAGCATAATTCCATCTGTATGTGTGGAGATATGTCACACAGCAGAAACTCTTTAGCTAGAGAAACCAATGAGACTCTCTGACTTGGGGATGTTCTTTAAATCCCTCTCAATGATAATTCCTGTTTGGTGTAGATGTTTCCAACAAGATGTCCCCAGAACATTGAATAGCCAGCAAGCCCCTCTTATCCTTTCTGAATGAAAAAGGGAGACATTTACCCTAAAGGTTTGTCAGAGAAAGAGTGAAGGATGAAAAAATCAAGTACAAGAACAGATTGGGGTGGGGAATGCAGATCAGAGCCTTCCAAACGTAGTCACTTTCCTATCAACATGGATTTTATTGTTGGTTTTTTGTTTGTTTTGGGGGGGGGGGGTCATTGGGTGCAAGATCCATAAAAAATGGAGGAAATTTAGTGTCCACTGACCCCACCTACCATGGAGCCCTATGAGGGGATGCACTACAAATGTCAAACAAATGACATAGTAGCTACACCAGAGTTTTGTGGGCACTATACCCAAACACCAGCATTAGACACAATGTCTACAAGACCTGTTGAGTATGTCTAACATTGGCACTTAGTTGACCTAGCCCAACAAGACAAGCTAATTAACCTTGGGGGAGGCACCCCAATGCCACCTGTCTACAGAAAATCAAGGCCAAAGTGATGTGTTATGGTGCTTCTGATATAAGTCACCCATCAGGATGATACCTTTCAATCACTAGGATCCTCTCCCCTCCACGGGACACCACACATGGCAAACATGTGGGTGGATGTTTAGATCCCAGAGGAGGTAAACTGAAGATACAGAACGTTCTCAAGGAGGTCCCCTTATCACGTACAGGAATCCACCTTGAGGGGGGATGAAAAGGGACATTTTGGTCAATGTAAGTCTTCCCATCCACTAAATTAAAAAAAAACAAAAAAAACTCAAAGCCAACCAGAAGGCTTGGAATATTTATCAAGCCTTCTCATATTGCATCTACTACATCTGGAGGTAATCCATTTAAAAGGCCAACCACCTTGTCAGAGGAATGAAACTGTCTTAGCTGAAAATTATGCATTTCCTGCTAAAATTTACATTTGTGTCCCCTAGCCTACCATTCTCACCATTAAGCACAAAAATGATGATGCAAATTCCTTTAACAATCTCAATCAGATACCCTCTAGCTCTTCTTTTTTTTTCAAAAGAAAACTATTTCAGGGATCATAACCTGCCATTGCATCACTTCCTTTTCATCCCAAGTGTCTTCCTAATAGCCCTTGTCTGAACCCTTTAGAACAATTTGATATCTTTCCTAAGGTCAGAAGCTGAAGAATGAACACAATATTCCAAAGGAAACCTAACCAGTAGGCTATACAGTGAAATTATTAGCTCTTTAAAACTTACAAGTATAATAAAAAAATTTAAACTTTATAAAGACAAGTAGGGATCGATATATACATAACCTAGTTAGCTATAGTAATATAGAAAGTTTTAGTTCTACAAAAAGTATTGAAACAAGAAAGTTAAAACTACAAAAACTGAGTTACTTAAAATCTAAAAAATGTATTCCTAATTTTGCAAATCATTGTAATTATATTAGTCTGAGCCAAAGTTTGGATAAAAAATCTGTGTTATTATTATCTCAGATGTGTGATAGTTTAGATTATCATTATTTTTGGTTTTGTTTTAATAAAAGCTTTGTTAAGTTCCACTCATACTATAAACTGCATGTACATGCAAAACATCAAGACACTACTCACCCAATGATGCATATATTTCACTGAAAGCTGTAAGATGGTCTCGTAATTCTAGGGCGGATGACATTGCTAGTAATAGACGTCTTTTTCTACCTGCAGGACCAATCTTAAAAATGAAAAACAATCTCTTTTATATGGGTTTGAATATACGGATTTATTATGGAAAGTATTAAGGAAGGACTGGCATACTTTGGACATGACAGCTTTAAAAGTAGAGCCTGACTGGACGTAGTAACATGGATTGTGATGACATGGTGATCGTGTTTCAAAATCATTTGACTATAATATACTCAACCACTTATTAACAAATTCTGAATCCGCAAATCAGCAAGTCATGAGACAACCACAGTCAATATAAAGTTGTAATGGAACAGCAAATGCCATTGTTTGGAATTTCATAAGTAGTACGAGGCCACCTAAAACTGATCACTTTTGGTACAAAATATTCATAAATTCAAATCATAAAGATTTATTCAGATCAGTGATTAAGAATTTCCAAGATGAGAATATCCCTTGTACTGAATTACATGGAAAACAAGGGAATATGAATGAACTTTGGGCACTAGGACTATCCAGGTAGAGATTTGTGATGTGTTATACTCAATCCAAGGTTAGCAAAGTGTGGTATTTTATAACAGGTTATATGTAATCCACAAAGGTGATTAGCAAAAGCTATCCATGTGTCCCAAGAAACATTACATAATATAATCAAGAGGGATTTACATCAGAAAATGAGGCCAACAGTATATGGGTTTCACCAAGATAAGACTTCTGACTTCCAGTCATACCTCCAGTTCAACCATGCCTCAAGCAGCTGGAGAAAGAAACTGGTATTCATGCTATTCCATACTAAGAAATATCAGTCAAGTTGCTGGACACAGTGCCCATGGCTTTCTCTGCAATAAAACTTAAACACTAAGAAACCATTGTCCTTGTACATTTAATGTATTCAACCATTTGTACTAACTTTCATACAGTAAATGAACAAAAATAATATGCATTGTTATGTTAACTTAATAGTGAGCTCCCCATCCTGAACATTACCAAGTAATATGCAAACCACAAAACTAACACTTAGATATTCTGAAAACTGGAAGATGACTTTATTTTGTAGCAAAATTATTTGGAGGAAAAAAAGATTACAACTGAATCCTATAACAATATAGCACTGTTTCATTTAGATAATCTGCTTCTCACCCCAAAACCAATTCAGACTGGATCTCCACTGAAATGACAAAAACTTCCAACTCCATTCAAGCAGATCTTATAATGTTTTATTTTTTCACTAGTCAACTTAATGCTAGATTTACTGATGAGGTTTATATGGGTCCTGTCTGTTTTTACAACAGGTTTTTCTAAATTATTTATGCATCAAATTGCTTATGGGTCCATGAAATTTTTGTTTTCAGGGTCCCTAATAACATATCAGCCAATCACAAAAATGTACACAAAAAATACAATCAACAATAGAATTACTCCCAGAAATTAGTGTTGAGATTTTCTATATATCTTATAAATAGATTGAGTGATTTCCTAAAATGTTTGTCACTTCTTCTCAGTGAATTTTGTACCACACAAAACATAAAATTATTCACTATGACGCAATATGTGGACCTCACTGGTATTTAACAGTATTAAAACAAGTAAGTCATTTTAGTTATTTCTATAAGGGTAAGAATACCTTAAAAACGTTAAAAGCAATTCAGAGTTAAGTGCTAGAAAGTAGTTTTTAGTCAAGGTGAAGCACTCAGTTGAGATTTGAGGAATAAGTAAACAATAACTGAGATTTGGTGATTTTCTTAGACCATTTTCAGAAGCTATATTTTGAATAAAAAATTAAATCTTTGATGAACATCAGTGACTTTAACCACCTTGTAAATTTTGCAATGTTCATTTTGTATAATATAATGCATTCCATTTTCTTCACTATGGCAGATTGCTGTTCTGTTTATAAATTCTTTTTTCATATTGATATTTAAAACTATCAAATTTCATAGCACTGCTATATAACTAAATTCTGCCTGTATAACATGTTTGTGTACCTATAGTATGATTTAATAAAGTATTTATTAACTTAAGGTAAATTGTTTCTGGATAACATCTATATAAAAGAATATGATTAACTAAAAAAAAAAAAAAAAAAGAAGAGTTTTAATTAATTTTTAACTCACATTTCCAAGCTGTTTAATTTCTGATCATTTATATACACACAAAATTTGTTCCTACCTCAGCAACTTTGATGAATCTACCTCTTCTGTTCTCTTTAACATCCAGGTAAAATCGTTTAGATTGTATTTGTAACATTTTGGTGGCCAGTTCTTGTTCTGAAGATGCCACAAACTCTCCTAAAGATAAAAAATATAATCAATTTATAATATACCTATTTTCTTCTTCAGAGCCAAATGACTTACATAATAACATAACATATAACATTTTGGGACAACATGGGACCTATTGGTTCATCTTGGCTGTTCCATCCTATAAACTAAACTGAAGCTATTAATAAATAAATCTTAAAGCCATCCCTTATCATTCATATACTTATAAAGCTTTTTCTTAAACTCACTTAAATTTACTGCCTCCACAACATCTGTAAGAAACTTATTCCAAAGACCAACCACCCTGTTAGAAAAATAAAACTGTCTTAGCTAAAGATGACTCCAATCCTGCCAAAATTTATATTTGTGTTCCTAGTCCTACTATTCTCACTGTTAAGTATGAAAAAAATATGATCCATCAACACTATCAATTCCCTTTACAATCTTAAACACCTCGATCAGATTCCCCCTAACTCTTCTTTTTTCAAGAGAAAACAATTTTAGATATATTAACCTCTCCTCGTATCACAACCCCTCCATCCCAGGCACCATTCAAGTAACTCTTCTTTGAACCCTTTTCAACAACTCAATGTCTTTCCTAAGGTAAGGAGCCCAAGACTGAACACAATATTCCAAATGTGGCCTAACAAATGACCTATACAAAGAAATTATAAACTCTTTAGACTTGTATTCAGTATT